ATTTCCAGATTTAATATAATGACTTATAATTGGCGAGAGAGCTGTTTTTCCACTTTGCCTATACATTTGACCCTGTTTACCAACAGGATAACATGCTCACTTGTTCTTCATGTGCTTAAAGACTTTCAAGGCTTCTCGATAAATTGGTGGATCTGCAAAGTAGTCCTTAATGAGATTTTGTAAAATGTCTTCCATGGTATTATCTTTGACATTAGAATCTTGGTTCAGGTGCTCTTGAAAGTGCATCTTCCACCATACATTCATGGTGGACCTGTCTTCGAAGAGTTGCTCCATCCTTATACCTAAGAGGGATTGCTCCTTATGTACTTGGCCCATAGATATCTCTGATTTGTGCTGAAGAAACTGTTCATGTCATGGCTGTCAGCAAACTTTTAAATCTCTTTTCTTTTGTCTTCCCACCACTTCTTCTTTCACTCTTGAATTTTCTTCTGGGTCTGGTTTTAATATGTCTTGCTACCATTTGGTGTATTGCTACTGTTTGAATGGATGTCATTCTGTCAAGCTTCAAAGGCTCTCCTTTTACTGTCTATGAGATTTTGACTTTACTAACTACCAAAAAGGCAATATTTAACCGGGGTCTCCCTGTACTTATTCTTGCAACTGGAATGTATCTACTTGGATGATACTTCAGGACTCAACAGAGTTGGACATTTTCTCTTGGACTGTTATTGGTGGACTACCCTCAAAACAATGAGTTTTGACATGACTATTCCAGTGTGAGGCAATAAGCAGCTTATGCCTCTGGGGCAATCTTACAGAACTTGCTACATCAGATACACTGAGGTCACATTTTCATTTATCTTGCATATTTTTAATTGAAATATGTACAACTCAAGATGCCAGAGCCCTAGACATGAATCCACAGTATCTGTGCCTTAATTTAACATGGGGGGGGGGGAACCTATGGCATGGGCAGCCTCTGTGTGTGCTTTCTGGCATGAGGGGAGGGGAGGGGATAGGCAGATGGGGCAGGGAGCAAAGCAGCAGATTAGGCAGGGAACATGGGGGAGGAGGCAGGAAGCAGAACAGTAGATCAGGAAGGGGTAGATGACAGAAGTTGTACTTGGGGAGGGTGAGGCGCTAATTTGTGATTTAGAAGATTTTTCAATTTGGAATATTGTGGCAGCAAGCTGTTAATGAAACCTGTGAAATATTTTAATGTGCTTTTTAGAATCTAACATTGAAATTTTGTTACTGAATCTAGTGTTGGTAACTGATTTACAGTTTTACTTTAATTCCCATAATATAGTCCATGCGTGCCAGTATGGTGACACTTTTATCCACACCAGTGTGCGGAGTCATCCTGTTCCTTACTGTACTTAGGAAAAATACAACAAATACCACAGAGTGCTGGGGCCTAAGGCCTGGTGACAGACTAACAAAGAAATACACCTCTCTCAGCTTTTGCCAAGGGTCACCTGGCAGGATATTCCTTCTTCCAGGGCCTTCTATAGGTTTGCCATGAACAAATACAATCATCCCCAATGTCTTTGTACTCCTAGCTGTAACTGAAATTTGGATAATTTAATTCTGCAGAACAATCTGTGGTATGAAAGGCATGTACTCCAAAAGTAAAAAAAAAAAAAAAAAAAAAAAAGTTGTATTGTCAGCATACTGTCATTTTTTTCCCGAAATGAAACATGTTATTTACAATTGCCCTATTCTTCTTTCTATAATTCTGCTTCCTGCTGGTTTTGAAATAGCTTTCATATCCTTGCAATTTCTATCTGCAAATTGAAAATATATGCATATTGCTTCTGTAGAAATAAGAAAACAATTACATTAAAATCTAAGATTTTTATTGCACATTATTTTTTCCTTAGTGTATTTCTTAAATGGAGATATTCATATTTTCTGTGCTTGTATGTCTCAGAGTTATGCTGTGAACATGTGTGTACACACACTCTCTCTCTCTTTCTTTCTCTCTCTCTCTTTCTCTATTACAGGACCATAAACTCTGGGAAAAATAGAATGTTAGCCATAAAACGTATGCATAAATATCTTTTAGATTTGAGAATCCAGGCACCATTCCAAAAGGAGCTAAATTGCCAACCTGCTTCGTTTTCCATTTGTTTGATGGCATTAGAATACTTCTAGCTTGAATAAGAAAATGGACTTTTATACATCACATATGGGATGCATAATAAAAATTCCTTGAATCTTTTTTTCTCTCTTGAATTACTAACCACAGCTTATTATGGAACAGACAAGAGCATTACTTGCAACATAATGGTATTATATAAAAATGAAATATAACTACTGTTACTACCTACTCTGTCTTTGGTCAGAAACAAGTAATATTATTTAGCATTACAGTGAACTGTTTCCTACAGCTAGAAACAAACCCCTTTTGACTTCCATGACAAACTACAGGTTTACTTTTCCTTTCACCTATTAGACTGATCCCTACCATTGCACATTTTATTTGCTTGTTACTTAGCAATAAGGCAAGTTTCAATCTAATGCTATACCCAGACTTCCAATCTCCAACCATGTGAAAAGCTATCATTCTTCCTGAAAGAAGATTTTGACACTACAGAAAAATTATTGGATTTCTGTGTTAGCTCCAGTCCTCCAAATGATTTGATGTTGAACACAGGGAGCCAGATTTGTTCCTGCTGTATAAGGCATAAGCACTACTCTGTGAAGGTCCATTTTGTACAAAGAAACATATCAGCCCCCAAAATGGGAAATCTGGGAGTAGAGCAGGAAGTAGTGCAGTCAAGGGATGCATTTTATCCCAAATACAGCCTTTATCTACTGTATTTTTGGGATACAGCTTACACTCCTTTGGAGTCCCTAGTGGATTTAAAGCTACTGACACCCAGGTCATTAATTCCAAACTGGGGTCCACAGACCATTAATGGACTCAGAGGCCACGGTACATGGCCTACATATTGCATTGATTTATTTATTTATTTTCCTTCTTCCCATTAAAAGTTTGACTGTGCATAGTGATCTACATGAACACTGAGAGTTTACAGGGTCTGTTTGTCTGAGAGGGTTGGGACCCAATCTTAGAATAATACCTTAAAGGAGGATAGGGATGGAAACACTGTCCCAGTGCCCCAGGCATGTACTCCTTCAAGCAAAGCAAATCTTATTGATACACCATGTACAGAAATGTATATCGTGAAGGGTAGATCTACAAAACTAAATTCAATACCCACATCCCTTCCTGCTCTTGATTACAGTGAAGAAGCTATAAACATACTTTTCTTGAATCCTCATTCACATAACTTGCCTTTTCCTTCTCCAGTTATTCAGCTTTGTGTTAATACATTTTAATTCTCCCAGTATTTGGACTGAACTATGGTATTTTTATTCTATTTTAACATTTCAAAGACTTAAAAAACACAAAAACCAGAAACCCCCAAAACCCTTTCACAGGATGTTCTTAGATTGCCATCTTGTACTTTCAATTCAGATTCTTTCTTCAGTCCTTAATTTTAATTTTAAATGTCTCATGTATTTTCAGATTACCATTTGCAAGTAGCAAACAGTGGGTGCATCTACATGTGCAATTTGAAGCAAGAAACTCCAGAGCAGTTTGAGCCAGAGTAAACTACTCGCATGCATGTCTACATGTGTGCCTGGGACAGAAGCAGTTTGAGCCAGGGCAGAGCAGTTTATGCCAGGGATTCTTCTGCTCTGCTGGCAAGGAGTATGTGGGGTCAGCTCTGGGCTCTGAGTGGTGGCAGTGGGAGGCGGGGGAGCTGGCTGGGCCATGAGAGAGCTGAAAGTGTGGAGTCATGTGGCTAGGTGGCAGGCAGCAGCCTGGCCCCCTGCTGGCTAGGTTGATCGGGCACAATTTATAGCTGTGCTTAGAGTCTACATGTGTGTTTAATTGCAGTTAACTACCCCAATGTAAAATAGTTCTGTCCCTGACAGTACAATCTTATGGTGGCATGAATTAACTTACTGTAGCCTAATAGCATCGCACATGCCGATGGTGATGCTTTACTCTGCAGCTAATAATTAGACTACTCCATAGTTAAGATTATGTGTAGTAGACATGGCCAGTGTACAATACTTTTCTCTTCTTACCTTCCTTTCTTTCCTTTTCTTAATTATTTTTTTAATCTTGAGTAATATCTTTTAAAATGTTGGACTTTGACTTTAGGATATATGGAAAAAATCATTTTTCTTAAGAGGTCCAATTGAAAAAGATCATTCATTGCTTAAAAGCATCACTCAAAAATAGCTGAAGCTAGACCATTCAAACCAAGCTTCTTATAAAATGATGTAACTTGATAGTTTGGGCCACTTTCTGAAATCCCATTTAAATTTATACTAGAAGATCTGATTACAAGACTGAGTTCCTACATTATTTTATAATGTTCAGTGAGGGATTATTTCAAGACTTTATGAATGCCTAAATTCATTAGAAATTCCTACTCATTCTCTTTGTTTCATTCAATCTATTCTCTCCTCCCACATTCTCTAATAATTAACATTAAGAAGGTGTTTGTCAAGGATGTTTCATAAAGAACTCCTTAAATAAAGAAGCCGAATGGAAGTCTCTTATGTTAAGACATTTTGTTAAGGACCCACTCAGCTAAGGATGCCTCAAATTAAGACTCTTCAACTAATGATGTATGTACCTTCATTTTGGAAAGTATCAGTTAAGTATGCACTCCTAAAGCAATTTATCAATGCTGAGGTGATTCAAAAGGTGAGACCCATGTAAACCATTCAATCAAATAAAAAGTATTTCAAAGTTAACTTAGCAAAACATATTTCAAAAGTAACATAGCAGTCTTAATATTTTTCCAGGTTTTTATTATTATTATTTTATGAAACTTAGATTATATGACAGAGTAAACACTGTAATAATAAAGCTGGAAATTCTAACTGTTTTAGAGTTTCTGATTTGACCTCTCACTTTCCTTGATGTCAGTCAGATCCAACTCAGTTGAAATCACTGGAATTACACTAGTGTAAAACTAATCTATTATACATTATCTCTATCATTCCAGTTCCTAATGTAATACAACAGGACATGACATGGGTTCAGAAATGAATTGCTCTCTTCTGGGCACTGGCTGTTGGATGTGGAACAGTGCTGCAGGTATGTATATGTCAAACTTGTGCTGCAGGTATGTTTCCTGCACACTGATTAGAATCATGTCTCTTCATGGTCTCTAGTCATCAAGGGCTCAGTTCACAAGGGGCCTTAAGGACTGTAGCATCTGACCTTTAGGTATAGGCTTAATCTTGCTTCTCTAAAGGCCCCAAGTTAGCTGTTTATCTCTGCTTGGGATTCATAACTGCAAAACCTTTTCCTGGCTAAACCCTTTTCTTTCAAAGGGAAAGGAGGGGTCAGTCCTTTCTTTCAAAAGACTATTTGGTAATTGCCCTAAAGAATATTTTATTATTTGATAGAAAATTGGACTGCTTAAGCTGGAAAACAGGAGAGAATCCTACCCAGGAATACTTTATAGCCTAATAGTTAGAGCACCTTTCTGGGCTCAAGTCCCACCTTACAAAGGAGGGATTTGAACCTTGGTCTCCCCCTTCACAAATGAAGACAAAAGGAAACTACCAGCAACTTCTCTTGGGTTGTCTTTTATATGAACTTACCTATGTATAGAGTATGTTTTGTGATTTGGGTCATAGAGATGAGATCAGTAAGGACATGCATATGCTGTGATTCTGGTAGGCCTTAAGGCTAGGGACAGACATTACACATAAACCGGTTTAAGTGATCAGAAACCAGTTTAAACATGTAACAGATGTTCAGTGCACATAAACCAGTTTGAAAATGGCTGAAACCACTTTGAGATGCACCTGGCTGAATGTAGTATCAGACTTAACTGATTTGGGTCAAACCAGGTTATGCAATGTCTGTCCCAGACCCCTTGCTGGTTTAAGATAAACCAGACTCCCCCAGCATTCTGGCATGCTCTCTGGACTGGGTGGGGCTCTCTGCTCCACAGCAAATCTGGCCCTGCCCCTCTGCTCCCTGACAGGTGGTCCGGCAAAGGGTCTGCCTGGCTTCCCCCTGCTCTACCTTCTCCGCCCCTCACTGCTCAAGCAGGAATCCCCCTCCCTCCCTTCCTTCCTCCCTCCAATCTCCAACAGCACAGATCCAAACCCCACGGACCCTAGGCATGTGGTGTGCTAGCTATTGCCAAAAGGTGTCTGTGTGTGTGTGTCTTCAATTTCACTGGGACAGGCAGACAAAACAGTGACTGCTTAGGTGTTTTTGGAGCTAATCAACAGGTCAGCTGGTAAACTGTTTAAGAAGAGTTTGAACTAATGGAGAGAGGCTGTTGTTTTGCTGATGCGGTGATAAACACTGTTATCAGCTCCCTGCTTGCTTGCTTGCCTGTCAGTTTGCTGCAGATGGTATAAAGAAGCAGGGAGGGAGATTGAAAAGTGTTAACAGATGCATGCACTACACACCCGTCTCCCTTTGCCTCAGAGTGCTTGCAGGAGTCTTGGGCCTGACAACACACCCGCCCCTTGAGCAGGCAGCAGGGGAAAGCCTGGGATGGTACAGGCAGGCCTCCCTAATCAGAGGTCCTGCGAGGGCCTGGCCATGCCCCACCTCAGCCCAGCTCCCTGCTGAAGTGAAAGGAGGTCTGCTTTAGTGCCCCCAAGCTTCTAGCCTGAGCCACTGCAGGCATGTGCCTGAATTTCCTCAGTCCAGAGAGAATGTCTGTCTGGTTACAAACTGGTTCAGCCTAGCCAAGATAGACTAACCTACAAAGAGTGAATCAATTCAGGCTCATGCTTTTTGAATGTCTGCCCCTATCCTAAGTGTTTAGCTGATAGACTCTGTGGGCAGTTTGGGGCTTGTGTACATCATAAATGTAAGAAACTTAGGTTAATTCAGTGCTGTGTTGGAGAGGAAGGGAGTTGGCAAAAGCTGGAGGCTCTTCAATGTTGAACTGAGGAGGCTAATGAGACTACTAGGAAATAAGCCCTAGAGTCCAACTCAAATTTCTTTATCATCCCCAAGATTGGTGCTCCTTTTATTCTTTCTCAGTGCAGCTCAGGCTTCTTATGGACCTAAGCCTCTTATTATGCAATAGTTTCTGTTAAAAGTCAATTGCTACAATAGTTATCTGCAATATAGTCATATTTTCCTATGCTTGGAATAGAAAGTAATTGTACAGTGTCTGGTACCATTGTATTGCAACTGCTGGTAAACTGACTAATGCTGAACACAGTGTATGTGCAAAAATTCTTCTTGTTGTACTATCCTTATTTCTTTTATATGCCACACCAGCAGTATATAATACAGTAATCACTATTGCATATGGGCTCCAATTACATAATGCAGAGAAGAAAAACAATTTACAGAAACATCTACCACACAGTATGCATTTCCTCACAGGTGTGTGTGTGTGTGTGAGTGATGTGATGTGATGTGCGTGCATGCATGCATGCATGTGTATGACTTGGGTTAGGAAACAAAGTCTGTGTGGGAGCTGGATGATTTCAGTCCAGCCTATCCTAGGTAACCAAGAGCCATTCCAGGAACATTTTGCAAATGTTTATAGGGCCTTGGATACAAGTACATCACAGAACTACATTCCTCTGACACTCTACTGCAGGCAACCATCACGTTGAAGCTGAAATTTCCCAGACCTTTCCTTTGTCAAGTGTTTTTTTTTTCTTGTACTACAAGGTAAAAAGACAGAACTATTAATATTATGCTATCGTCGCTCATAAGATGCGAGAAGGAAGGCAGAAAGGATTTAATGAAGATAAACTGAGATTCATTCTTTCTTTCTATCCTATCAGAAAGTCAGTGCATTATTTATGTACACCTTTGTTGAAGATCAATGTGGTGATAAAATGTCCTGTATAATATTTTGGTTATCTGTTTCTGGACCTCCTCTTTAATTCTGCCATGTTCCCTGTCCTTTACTACTGGCAGTTTTTTAGCATTTCAGTTAAAACAGAACATTCAGGTTACAGACGTCCAAGGCAGTGCAGGGGGTAGAGGCAATGGAAGAATATTGAGAGCGATGTGGTGTTGGCATGATGTTGTAGCAGTGATGGTCCAGCAAATATGTGAGGCAGGGTTTTTTGTGGAGTGATATGTTTTAATGGACCAGTTACATTTAAACAAACTTTCAGGCACAAGGTACCCTTCTTCAGGTCTGAGAAAGAAGCAGATACACTAGAACAATAGCTTATCTCCATATGTAGATAATATTTAAAGTACAGCTTGTTAATCTTGCCTGGCTTCCTCATATGATCATTACTGTTTCTCTGACTCAGAAGCTGAGGGCTTTTCAAGGAGGTAGTTCTTCTGCCACTTATAAAATGGTACATGGGAATGTCTGGTGCTATCTTAAGATAATCAAAGGTTGCAAGATTAAAACTCATTGTAAAAAATAAGTAGATTCAGAGTTTAGAGCTCTGGGAATCTGTAAAAGCAGTCTTGGCTGTTAGTCCTGGAAATTAGCATCAGAAACATCTGAGGTTTGTTCATCCCTAAAATTTACTGAGAATTCACAAGTTAGACGTGTATCGTTGTTCCACTGTGGTCTCATGTAAGTGACAGTTATCATCAATTTGCAAAGTTACGTGACTATTTGGAGCCAAAAGCATTAGTCTGCTTTATTGTGTTAATAAATACTGAAACCCATTATCTACTGATTTATCATGGTGCTGAGAATTGTTGTTCTATAGTTTATGACAGTTCACTTAGCAAATAACGCATGCATATTGTTTTCAATTTCTTTGCACTCCCAGGAGGGCGGTAAAACTATTCTAGGTAATAGATTAGTAACAATAATAGAGTAAGAGCTGGAGGGTTTTCTGGAATTTCTGGAGAAATGTATTTCAGCTTGTACTGCAGCAGTCGCCCAAGGCATAAATTTATTAATGTGACATTTATAGACTGCATGGGTCATTTAAATTATTATTTGAAACAATAAAGAATTGGTATTTAAATAAACTAAAACAGCAAATATAAATAGAAAGCTCTGTGCATTCAAATTCAGAACCTAAATGGTTTTGTTTGTTTATCATACAATTACTACCTTTAAATATAGAAAAATAGATCTTTAGATGAAAGTTAAATTAAATGGTTTGTTGAAAAGCTTCCTTATATTATATAATTATTAAATAAAGTGTGTGTTTGTATAGATAGTAATCATGTAATATATTATATGATTACTATATATAGATAGATAGTAATAATATGAAATATATAATATCTATCTTATTATCTATCTTTCTCATATATAAAAGAGAGAGAGAGAGATCATAATTTTTTTTTTGCAACTTTATATCCAGCAAGTTCTCATATATGAGAGTTTTGAGACCTTATTGTTCAGCTTCTCTACTTACCTTTAAACATCATCAGGGAAGTATTTCTCATACAACCCTTTTTCTACTTTGGATCTCCAGGAGTGCTATCATTTTTATATCAGAATAGGCTTTGCTCCACTTTGAACTTCACCACCCCACTTTCACGCTCATCTAATTTAGAATTGACCCGAGCCTTTTTGGGTGCCTACAGATGTTCAGGACCCCACTCTGAGTCATGGTGCTTTATATAAAGAACCATGAGTTACAGCTGTCTCCCTGTCCCAACCAACATTCGCCTGTTGGTTTGGGGGAGATTGAGCCTCCCTGCACCAGCCCTCCTGGCCAGCAGGTAGGGGCACTCCAGTAGCCTCCAAGGAGTCTGCTGAACTGCCCCTCCCCAGCCCCACTCCCTATTTCCAAGTTCTGGGGCTGTTAGCCAGGAGGGAGGGGGAAGTGAGCAGCACAGGCCTGCTGGCTTGCCCAATCTGAGCTTGGAGGGGGCAGTGGAATGGACCCCTTCACCTTGGAGGTCTACCCCCTAGCTACCCTGATAGGTGAAAAAATAATGCTTGAGGGAATACTAGTTCCCTAAGGTGCTCTAAAGCAGAATGCCTTAATCTAGTACCTGATTTGATAAGGGTTATTTTTTTGCACAATTGGCCATTTTCAAAGCTTTCTGTGTGAGCAATAACAGAGAAATCCCTTAGAGAAAACAGTGGCATAGTAGCCTTTGATCACACATCTGCGTTTACTGCAAGCTATATATCTGGTTAGATCTCATGTAGCTTACTCACA